CCTTGTATTTGGATGTCAAACGGGACAGGCGCGGGTCATCGTATTGACCATGATAGCAATTGTGCTAAGTATCTTTAGCAAATTTTTGAGGGACTAGATCATTTTGTATAGGCAACCAAGATAGCATCATCGAGGGACTATGATCTTTTGTTTTGTTTTTATTTTGCTAAGATACTCAACATGCATAACATGGCCATTTTCAAGGCAACAAGTGGATGAAACCATAGGGGTGCATGTGTGCATTGTGTTGTCATTTTCATGCATTTTTGTCTTGCATTAGGTCAAACTATTTGTTTTGATTTTGGATTTTGCATACAAACCCTAATCTCTATCATGGCATATTTGAAAGTTATAAATGCACAAAATAAATCTACGACTATTACAACATTGATATGGGAAGGGGGATATAATTTTTGAATGGGGGTATTTGCAAGAAAATAAAACCCTAATATTTACTATTACATCCAAATTGAATAAATGGTACAAATAAATAAATAGGCAAGTATTTAAATGGTCAATTAAATAAACATGCAAAATATTATGAATATGCAAAAAAAAAAAATGTTTTTGTTTATTTTTATGTATGTAAGAATAAAATATTTAATGTATTAAAAAGAAAGAAAATAAAAAGTTATTTTTGTTAAGGGAAAAACCCTAAATTTTGTTTTAAGAAAGTATATTTATTAATATTATTTATTTATGTACAATAAAAAATAAAAATATATTCAAGTGTCAAAAAATAAAATATATTAGGAAAAAAATATTATTTTTAATAAGGGTGGAAACCCTAGTTTTTTGTCTTAAGATAATATATATTTTATTATTTATTTCATGTACAAGAATAAATATAAACATATATAAAAGGATATTAAAAATAAAACATATGAAAAAATATTATTTTATATGTATGAATAATAAAAATAAAATATATAATATTTCTATAATGCTTATAAGTTTTTATTAAAGAAAATAAAGGTATATACCAATTAATAATTATTCTTATGTCTAAAAAATAATAAAAAAATAATAAAATAAAATGTGAAAATTTATGAAAATATTTTTAGTATTTTTTATGTTTAGAAAAAAATATAATAAAATCAGAAATGAAAAATAAATAGAAAAATGCAAAAATATAAAGAACAAGATTGTAAGAACAAGATTTGTTTATGCATCTGGCCTTGAGTTTTAATGATAACATTACATGAGTGATTAGATAACAATTTAGTACCCTAATGGTTTGTTTAGTGTGTAGCTTTTGCTAATAGATTCTAACTCTGAAGAATTTACGTGGGACGCCATCGGATTCTGGACTAAACACACTAAGAGATACAAGTGTGTGTGTCATTGCTTAGAATTCTTCTTAAAACAACGGTTTTGATGAACGTTAATTTTATTGCTTCGAAGTGTAACTTTGATAGTAGAGCTTCTAAAGAATTCTTAAGCTTTGAAGATTTCAAGCTCTCTTGCTTCAAGGTTTTGAATATTCTAAAGACAAGGTTTCGTTAAATGAGTTTTGAAGACTCTAAAGATTAAGGTTCTGAAGATTCTAAAGACAATGTTATGTTGAACGAGTTATGAAGATTCTGAAGATACGACTCTGAAGACCAACGTGCTAAAAATACTCTTAAGACAAGGTTCTGTTGAACAAGTTTTAAAGATTATGAAGACCAAGGTTATAAATACTAGTTTTGATCCTTCTAAGCATGCTTGAACTCTTACATACTTTGAAGCCTCTGAAGATTAGAAGAGAATATCAAAGGTCTCACGAGAAGTACTAGTACAATGTCACATCCATCCATTATCCTTTTTTGCGGCGCAAGGATTGTACTATTGGCACTATATTGTCTACCACTCACACTGACCTTTGCAAGAAGACATCTAGAATTTTGGTATTCCTATTCTACCCTCCAACAAATTTCTTTTTGCCTATAAAAGGAAGACTTGGAAGAATTGGAATCGGGAACAACGTTGAACAACTTTGAAGAAACTCAAGCTAATTCAAATTGTTAAATGCTGCCAAAATAACTTTGTAATTTTTGTAAAGCAAGGAAATTTTGTTCGTTAACTTGCTAGAAAGGAACTATTGTTCGCTAACTTGCTTAACATTGTTGTGTTATTATTTATTCTTCATTTCTATGTAATATGCTTTTGAGAAGCAATATTGAAAATACAAAAGCTTGTATTCAATAATGAGTTGATTTTTCCTTGAGTGACTAAGTGTTAGTATGATTACTCAAGAAATCATTGACAGTTTGTCTCTGAGGTGTTATTCCTTGAGAGACTACGGATTTAGTCAAGATTCTCAAGAAGACATTAATAGTTTGTCTTTGTGGATTATAATCAGTTTGGTTATAGTGGATTAAGTCCTTGAATGAGAAAGGAAAATCACCTTGGTGGAAAGACATGATTAACTTCGTTAACAGTGAATCATGATAAAAATAATGGTGTTCATTTATTTTTGTTCTTGTGTTAACTTCTTGTGGTTGGTTTCGAAAAGATTTTATTTCTAGAAACTCAATTGAAACTCTATTTCCTTGTGTTTCTTGCACCTTCATTAACTTCATCTTTTAAAATAATTATTAAAAAGATAGTCTATCAAAATTTTCAAAAATTCAGTGCACCTATACTTTATAGCAGTAATTTCAAAATCCGGTAAAATTTGTCAAGCAGTGAATTTTTTTAAAATAGTAGTAAAAACACATATCGGATTTTTTGTTTTGCCAACCAGATTTTTTCGCACGAGAGAAAATTTTCCAATAATTTATTAATGAAAAAAGTGAAAGGGATATTTTTGAAAATTACAGCCTCAAAAAAAGTGAAGGTCCAATAGAACTACAATCCAGTCAAAACAAGAATTTCAAAACACACCTAAAAAGTTTATGGGGTTACTTTTTTCACCCTTAGGGGTGCTCCCTCACCAACGTGAAAAGTCTCAATTGTCCCTAGCGTTTGGAGATGTATCTTCGGATAAACTTTTTTTACATACTCCTTAGTGCAAATTGATGTGAAGCCCATTGTTTGCCAAAATTTAGTCTGGAAATACATCTATGTATGTGTTTATGGTCAATCTGGATATGAATCTCCACAAACATCATTAATTCAAAATTTAGTAAGTGGTACAGAGATGCATCTCTGCATACATTAACCCACACCATAACCTTCCCTCTTTCTCTTTAATTTTTTGAAAACTTACTCAACTTGAAAAAACCTAACTGGTGCTCTTCCTCAGTCATTCAAGCTTGTCACTCCATTCTACTTCATTTGTTGCAAAGCTTCTCACTCCATTCAAGCTTCTCGTCCACAACTTAGATTTAGTAAGTTTTTTAAAAATCATTCAGTTTTTGTGTTTTGAATAATATTTTAGGAAACATAAGTTGTTTAAGCAACATTAGATAACGTGCAATCGAAATAGATAGCCTAAATGGACATGCATTGAAATTTGTTAGGAGTTTACGGCAGTAATAATGTTTCTATCATGGTTGAAGATCACAGATTTGTCCGGAGATGCATCTCTGTATTCTGTCTGAACTATTTTTGGAGACATATCTCTAGATTTGAACCTAGCAGAATTTTGGTTGAATTTTTTATTTGACTACCTGGTTTTAACGCATGTGCGATGGCTAAAATAATCCTGGCAGAATTAGGCTCAGTCGTGTGTTCTAAATCTCGTATGTACGACGTGAGAGGGTAGTTGGCAGGACCACGAGGCCACAAGTTGATGATACCTCATTTGATGGTTCACAACACCGAGGTTGCCAACCATTTGATTATGTTTCTCATAGTCGTCAGTCTCAGGCCTCTACTTAACGGGGCCACGAGAGGTCTTCATGAAATACCTTACAATACATATGAAGGAGAAACTGCAGAGTTAGACAGGCCCAACAGTTTATGTTTATTTGTATTTTTTGTATTTTCTGAACAAGTTATATATTTATTTTACATTCTGATTTTACTTTAATTAATGCCTGGCTCTTTTAATGCATGCTTGAATTAATTAGTATATCAGTTTTTTAATTTATGGTCTAAAATCACCTAAAATATGAGTTGGTCTAAAAAAAATTCAATCTTGCCACAATGTTGCTTGCCTTGAAATATACCATTGAAATTTCAATCTAGGGGATTTCTAGATATGTATTTTCGAAATATCTCTTGTCATATATCTTTAAATGACTTCAAATAATATGTCATATATGCATCTCCGAATACATCCAAATAATATACAGAGACATATCTCTAAATCATATTTTATTTAAAATGGAATAGATACCAAAAAGACAAAACTAAATTTGACTTTAAGTGCATCCGAAGATGTATCTCTAAATACATTAAACTCAATTTATTCTTTTGTACTTAGACAGTGACAATGCATGTGCTTATAAGTGGCAATATTAAAGTTTATTTAAGAACTTCATTGAATGATATTAAAATTTACCAGTAAACTATGAACAACACAGCTCCAAAGCATTCATCAAAATCTTAAAAAAGCTACCATCATACAATATTTTTGATGAACAACTTAGTTAAGTGTTTATCATCTAAGTGTTGATGCATAAACTATTTCTATAACAAAAGATAAAATAAAATCAAACTATTTTTATAAAGTTATAAATAAACTATTGTAGTGAGGTTATGAAAATAATTTAAAAACAACTTGAGTTAAGAACATATCACAAGATAATACAAATATTTGTGCTATTAGATAAACTCAAATAAAGTTCATAAAGCATACTACTTATGTTTTAAGCGGCTAATTAAGTTGCTCATCCAAACATGACCAAAACCAGCAAAGAACACAGAATATACCCATTAGAATATAAACATATATTTTTCTAAACTTTGTAAAAACTCACCAAATAGAGACTATTCAAGCACTTAGAACACCCTTCAAGACCTTGAAAGCCATTGACGTTTTTTTCACTACTCAAACAACTCTTTTCCAACTTTCTAACACTTTGATCTCCAACAAGCTCCCCTCTTTTGGTTACAGAAAATGAATCAGGTCAGTTAAAAGGATGCAGCCTAATTCCACAATAACAATACACCAAATCACAACTCTCATTTGGATTTACAATCTCAATTCCTCTAACTTTCAAAGCCTTTTCCAAACCATCCACACATGTTTCTGAATCATCTGGCACCAAAGGCATGTCAAATGATGATGACGACGGTGATGGGTGGTTTCTAAGAGCGGTGGCAGAGTAGGAAGAATACAACCATGCTGCAAGAACGGGACAACATCGGCTACGGTCGAGTTTACTGTGTTTTGACGAACTACATGCATTTTTTATGCCATTGAAAAGTTCATTTGAGAGAGATAAAGGATAGCCTTTAACATAAGATTGTTCTTGGAATGAAGGGATAGTTAATGTTGTTGGATGAGATGATGGTGTTGGGAGAATGGGATTAGGGAGAGTCGTGTAGGAAGGGAAGAAGAGAATGTAGAGGAAAAGGAGTGATATTGACATGGTGGTGTTGAAAGTATAACATGAGGGAAAAGCAATGAATTGAAGAGTCTAAGTTATATATTAGGTAGGAAGAAATGTAAAAGATGTGGATAGGGAGTGTCATGCTGACATGAGTAGGTGAATTGTATTTAATGTGCAGAAGAGTATTCACATGAATGAGAGGGTTTATGTTTAATGAGAGTGCAGGAGAGGGAGTGCACATGTCTTACTTGTTGCAACCTTAATTCTTCTCGGTTCTTACACATCCTAGTCATGTATATAACTTGTGATCTCTAAATACATTCTACAGGGTAATAGTAAAAAAATTAATACTTGAAGAGTTAGTTACTTACTTACTTTCTTTATCAGAAATTTTCTCTTCAATCTTTGGTAGGCTTAGCACTGGTTGAAGAATTTTGATACTAACGGTCCTACCATAATACTTAATCCATGTACAAAGCATCATTAGGGGCTTTACAAAAGCTAAATAAAACATGCAACACAACTTCTGTACAAAATCATATAGCTGTTTTGGCAACCAAACATAATGATAGACTCTGGATTTCAGAAATTGGCAAGGCTGCAAATGAAAATGAAGTTTGTAAAAATAATATTTTACCTGATTTTAACTAACAAATACAGAAGACAAAAAAAAAAAATGATCAACTTTGAAGCTATAAAACTAGAACTCAGCCAGCTTTGCAATTTATAATAACCAGAATCAAGAGAATGTAAACAGCATTGTGGCGATCTCCAGACACCTGAATAGCAAAATCTGCAATGAAAGAGAAATCAAGATGGATGGTTGTATTCAAATTCAAAACAAATTGTAACTAGAAAGCAACTCACCTAATTTAACTCTTACATTAGACCTTTATCAATCATTTCACGGAGAAGTTTCACAGCCATATGATTCTTTCCACTTTTGAACAAAGCACTAATAATAATTTCATAAGTTACAACATTCGGAATGCAACCGTTGTCTTCCATTTTTGACAGTAAGGTCAATGCTTCATCAATCAAGCCCTCTTTACAAAATCCATTAATCATTGCAGTGTACGACATAACAATTAAATGATAGCCATTCGACAGAAGTATCCTAAAAACCTCTTGTGCGTCCTTAAGTCTTCCACATTTGCACAAACCGTCAATTAATATTGTGTATGTGTACACATCTGGCTTAATTCCCGGGTGTTTGAACTTTGTAAATAATGCTATTGCCTTGTCAAGATTATGGCTTTTGCACAAAGCATCTAATAAGATATTGTAGGTGAACACGTCAAATGGTTGACCTCTATCATGCATCTCATCTATCAGATCCCAAACATCACAAATTCTCCCCGATTTGCAAAGTCCATCAATAAGCGAATTGTATGTTATAGTATTAGGAGTCATGTTTTTCAAATGCATTTCTTTGAAGAGACTGACAGCTTCATCCACCATTCTACTCTTACATAATCCATCAATCATGACATTGTAGCTGCGAATATCAGGTTCAACTCCTCTTCGAACAAAAGAGTTGAATACGTGTTTAGCCTTGTTCACTTCTTTAACCAAGAAATATCCATCCATCAAAGAATTATAAGTAATAACATTAGGTTTCACGCCTTGTTTTATCATAACAGCCAACACATCTCTACCTTTTTCCACCTCTCCTTCCTTACCAAAACCATCAATGAGTGTGTTAAAAGTACAAACATTCGGCATGATACTTTTCAACAACATTTCATTTAACAAAGCAATTGCTTCTTTCAAGTGACCGACAATGCAAAGGCTGTTTACTAAAGTAGTATAAATAATAACATCAGGAGAAATTCCTTTGACAATCATTTCAGAATATAAATTAAAGGCATCATTCACAAGTTTATCCTTTCCCAAACTATCAATGATTGTGTTGTACATTACCACGTCCGGCTTAACCAACGACCCTTCAATCTTGTTAAGAACCTGCATAGCAGCTTTTGTTTCTCCTATTTTACATAAACCGCCGATCAAGGTTCCATAACTAACATGATCAAGTTGAAACCCATTAGCTATAACGTCATCGTGAAAGTGAAGGGCTTGGTTAATCTTGCCACTGTTACAGAGACCTCGGATAAGTGTATTCATTGTTATGGTATTAGGGTGAAAACCTAGCTTGAGAATGTTGGCGAATACAGAAAATGCAAAATTGACTTGATGAAGGTGACAGAAACAGTTAATCAAGATGCTTAAATTAACAATGTCGGTTCGAATTCCTCTGAGTTGCATTTGTTGAGAAAGGGAAATAGCAGTTTGAAAATGTTGGATCTTAACAAGGGAAGATAGTATCTTACCGAATTCAAAGATGGGAGGGGTAGGGTTTGTATTGAGCATGCGATTGAATGAGAAAACAGCATCATCAACAGCAACAGCAACAGCAACAGGGTTGTGACTGTGAGAGAAGAATCGAATAACAAACAAGTTGGAAGACTGAAGAGAGAGAGCGTACCTTAATCTCAACAGAGACATTGCTTCTTCAACTTTGAAGATAGACAATAATGGCAAATTTGTGAACAACTTTGTTAATCTATCTTCTAATATCCCTTACTTAAAACCCTAACACCTCTTTATTTTGGGGGTTAAAATGTTAACTTAAGAATGCTTTTTCTAACTATTTTTGACAATTCGTCCAAATATAACTACTATTATTTTCTTCTAAAATTTACATTTGGTTTTGATCTTGCATTACTTTTCCGCAAATGTCAACTTTTGGGTTTTTAATGGTTAACTATTTGTCTCTCTTCTATTTATATCCACTACTTCTCCCAGCACCATCATTACACTCTCTTTTCTTTTTCGAACGCCATATTTTTTTCACATTTTCATTTGGACCGTAAACATCCATAATCTTTCTCTTATATATTTCTCCTTCAGTTGTGTTTTCCTTCCGATTTTCATAGCAAGACTATTTGAAAAAGTTGCAGACATCAACGACAAGAAGGAGTTTTGGAAAGTTACAGTGAAAGTCCATCATAGATGAAATGTGATAACCAACACTAAGGAGCACTTTGAGATGATCGTTTATGACAAGGAGATAAGTTTGTTCGGACAACCCTTTTTTCCCGAATTTTGTTTTTGGTTCTTTGTTGCTCTAGTTTTCACATAAACCATATTGAAGATTCTTACGTTTTGTCAAAGTCATCACAGTTTTATATCATTGCTTTATTTTGATGTTATAGCATGTTAAAATACGTGTCGCTCTATGTTATATATCATGTATTTTCCAAATACAAATGTTGTTCCCATGTTTTGCCATGGTTTTACACATATTCATGGTATAAATATGTACGTTGATTTTCTTTTTTATTGTGATATTTTTCTTAAACAATGACGTAGACAAAATAGTATTTTGTTTTGACTGTTAAACAGCGTTGTATACATTTATTTTCTTGCTGTTTTTTTCTATATGTTTAGGTCTTTGGTTAACAATATTGTATATCTTTGTAGCAATATTGTCGACATCATAATGAAATATTATAGCTATTTTTTGTTATCTAACTATTTTCGTTTGCTTTTCCTTGACATGGGTGTGATATACATGTCATTGTACCCCCAATGTATAGGCAGGCATTTGATTCCCTTTTAGCTATAAACGACACTTGCACGATTACGAACTTCCAAGTTCAAGTTAATAATTTGATTTTCAAACCTTCACCCCACAAATATATCATTAAATTCATTGGAGGCACCACAGTCGGTGATAAAAACAAACATCAAATAACCAACAAAGAAATAAAGTTAACTCCTTTAGTTGATATTATAACTTGCAGGTGGAAAAAAGATGTTCTTATAGGTAACACTATATATTTCTTTCGTCAACGATTGTCTTTATGTATTATCTTCATCCACTTCATATTACCACCATTTTCCCAGAGATAATCGAAATTGTAGATGAAATAGACTACACACTAGGTCTGATTAGTGGTAAGAAGCAGTATGTTAACTTGGTCTTGCGAGACTTGGGGTGTGTTTTTTCTTCCTAAGTTCACATTAAGCTTACCCTCTTGAAAGCGTACGTAATACAATTTATCAAGTTTAACCAACAACAGACTGATTCTTCCTTGTCAGTAGTCATTTTACTTCAGTATGCTAAAGTAAAAGAAGAAGGTGGTCCATGCTGCATTACTTTGTTTGATGTATTTTATTTTATTAACAAGTCATCTACTCTGACGCGATTCGTAACATTATTCTTATAAGTAAATATCCTCCGTCTGTTACCAACACATACTAGTAACATTGCATTTTTCCTTATCTTCTTGCAACCAGTCTCACAATTCAAAAATGGAAGTGACCAAAATTCTTATTCACAACGTCATGATTTACTCCTTCTAAATTGCTAAACTATCTTCACGGATAATTTTTTTTTATATATTACTATAAAAAAATTTGAATTTTTTTTAATAATCTATAAACTTTATATTACTACTATAAAAAAATTTGTGCGCAAATGTTTGCTGAAATTGATCCTTCTTTTTTTGTCACTATGAAAATAACATAACAAAAACATGGACTATATTGAAAAACCAAGGTGTCAATCATGTTATAATCTATGACAAAGATCAAGATTATCCACTTATAACCAGTGGATGGAAAGATGTTGAGGCGTTCTACAATTTACCACCTGATGTTGTTGTTGAAGTCAGTTATTATGGTAACAACAATTTCGGAATCAACAATTTTAAATAATTGTTCAATCTTGAACAATTACCACAAAGACATTTTTTTCATTTGAAATTACTCTGACAACTATTAGTGTGGCACTCCCAAAATTAGTTGAGTTTCTCTATCTTTTTTCATTTTCATTTAATCTATTTTTTTCTAAGATGACGCAATTAACTCCACTATTATTTGATAGAAATTGCACGTAGACTTTGCAATAATTTTAAAGGATTATAACTATCAATTTCTTATGTTGTGTGGTGATAACGGAAAAACAAAGATACTTACTTTATTGAACACTAATGACCCATATCGCACTAAATTAGCATATGAATGGAGCG